TTATATTGCTTTGTTTTTTTTATAACGATCATATCTTTTGCATACGAACTCCGTTTTGGAATTTCTTTGTATTTTTAGAAACAGGGGAACATGTGTTATGTGAAAAGAATGTTTGCTTCGCTCGTAACTGCTTAATATGAACTTTCAGTTTTTTAGACGTATTAACTAGGGCTGCAGTTTGAGCTGTTTGATTCGTTTGAGATTTCCACAATTTGAATTAGGATACCATCTAGTATCTTATAATAGTTGTAGTGACACTATATATTTTTTTAAATATGCATTAAAGATCAACAGGTCAGATTATAAAGAGGTTTGCGGTGAACTGACTGTCTATAATTTTCGACCTAAATTCCAGGATGTCACATCAGAAGACCATCTCTATCAGGTTGAAGAAAACCATTTCCATAAGAATGAGGAATACCACCATTGTCTTGATTGGACATCTAAAATTTAGGAGAACTGAGAATTCCACTTAGTTGATTTTAATCCTTAATTATTAACCCATAATTTAAATTATGGCTAGGATCCATAATTTCGATTCGAGCTTTAAAGAGGGGTGTCGTAATTGGATTCGAATCAATTTTATGTAGGTAGAGTCAGCTTACCAATTTCAATCACATGAAACTCCTAGATATTTAAGATTCATTGGGTCTTATCAATGACATGTTTAATCTTGACTATGCTCTTACCAATTGTGATTAGGATGTTGAGGATCACAATTAAGACGTGAATAACCATGCAAACCTACTTAATTACCGTTGATTGATTGATGATCTCCCATTGATGTTCCGGTTAATCACACACGTTCCATCACCAATCATAAACACACGTTGTTTCATCATTTCATATATATATATTTTTTTGAAACGACAAACTAACTAAGCTACTCCTAATAACCACCTATGTCTCTACTGAGACTTGAACCCATGACCTCTCCTATGAGAGGATCACTCCTTACCGCTAAACCATTGGCCCTTTGGTCATCATTTCATATTTATAGTCCTAAATTAGTGTATTGGTTAACCACACATACTCTACTAATGACTCATAAAGAAACGATATGCACTTTCATTGATTAGCATACAATTTCACATTTTTCCTAAAGTAACTAGAGTGAGATTTTTTAAAGTGAGTTCTAGTACTTTATAGCATCATACTTTTAAGAGGTTATGTCCTATCAACCCGTTCGGCTAACAACCTTCCACCACGCAAGGGACTGATGTGTGAGAATATACACCCATCTCACTATCATTTTATAGGTCGTTTCCTTATACCCCCTTATAGCATGGCTTCATGAATGAGGCCTACTATTGATTGACAGATTAGTTTTATACATATAATATATTAAACTTTTAATTATATATAGTATAAGATGTATTTTAAATCTTTTCAAAATACGAGGTTTAACTATTAATTATCTAAATTATCATATAATTATTTAATCAATTTAAACATTTAATGGTTTTATAATTATCTTTTAATTACATTACAATTAAATTAATTATTAAATTCATAACGGATAATTCAATTTAATTTAACTAGTTAAAAAATTATCAAATAAGGATATCTCATAATATTTAGAGATTCATTAATTATCACACAAGACATATAAAATTCAGAATCAAGCAGAATTAACACCAGATAATTACCAAAAATAATACAACAATCAGATTAGGCAGATAACAACCAAAAATCAGATTAAAACTAATTTCACACTATGATAGATAAGTTGCCACGTCGTGAGATACAAATTTTACAAAAATTATGTTTTGTTTAATTCATCTCGTTCGCAGTCAATGTTTGACAAGCCAAGCTCTGATACCACTCTTGGATTTCATAGAATTTTTTTTTACAATGCGGAAAACAATTAACAATTAATATGGTACATGCATCCTATAAAAGATATATGCCATAACAATGAAAGGCGATATATTATGAACAACAAAACTAGCATAAACCCTAATATAATCGAAATCATAGGATTAGGGTTACATACATTTGATTTGTTGTAGTAAACAAATCACTTCAATCCCCCTTCTAGTGTTGGTCTTGGAAAGCTTAACACCAAAATGACGATGTCTCTAATGAATCACACCCAAACCCTAGAACTAGAAGACAAGAAGAGAGAGGAAGGAGGGGAATTTCAAATAAAGTATCTTTCTAGGAAGAATATGTAGGAAATTAGACCTCATTTGGATCTTATTTATAATGTGGATAACACAAGGAAAATCCTACGTTTGAATAATAAAATATTCCAATTTATTTTATTCGAATATGGTATCCTTATCAACTTTAAGTATATTTTAGAAACCAACACCCTTAAATTTCGTTCACTATTATATGGGTTCTAGAATTTTCTTTCGTTATTTAATTATGAACAAATTACAATACAACCATTGGGCCTTTAATTAAATTTAATTGAATCCGAATTAATTTCAGATTAATTTTAATTAATAATTAGTGACTTCTAACTTATTTCTCATTAATTTATTAATCATATAAATTAACAAATCAATTATTATTTCAAAGTAATATATTAATCATAATAACTTAACAAATCATTTATTACAATTTATTAGTCATATAATAAACTAATAAATCCATCATCTCTATCTACTTGTCATTTAAACTAAGTTTTAGTTATGAGACAACCCAAAAAATGACTCTGTTTCTAATTATAAGAATATATCAATTTAATTACCGACTTAAACATGTCAATCCAATAAATTTTAGGTTTTGACACTTTTAGTTCTCAAAGCTTAGCTTATTTTAGGTTTTGACACTTTTAGTTCTCAAAGCTTAGCTTATTTTAGGTTTTGATACTTTTAGTTCTCAAAGCTTAGCTTGCTGACCAATCCTAACTCATATTCAATATCCTCTACAAAGACTTCTAGAAGTTGAACAAAAAACACCCCTCGACATATAAATCCTATACATTTTAATAAATTTGTATTATTATTATTATTATTATGCATAAAAAGAAATAATAATTAGCGGGAGACGAAAAACGAGTGCTACACCACTAATGCTCCTTGATTAGGTTATTATTGTAAATACCATAATTTTTTAGACATTATTTATATTATGTTTGTGTTTAGGTAATCCTTAAAACTTGCGTTCTAATAAAAAATTTTCATATTTATGGTTATGGTCTTTGACTCTTTATGTATGAACTTTAAATATAATTTGGTTATTTGTCTTAATTTTTCTATATTTCTTGAAGAAAAATTTGGATTTTTTTCCGTTTTTTATTTTAACTTTTTAAAGTCATACATTTAACGCTATTGCTTAGGAAATGCTTAGAAGAATAATGTTAACAAGTGTCATAAAAAACTATAATAATAGGGTTTCTTCGGAAATACAAAGGAAATTTTTTATCAAAACCATCACGAAATAAAACTATCATAAAGGAGTTGTTTCTCGGAAAACCCTTGGGATATCCAAGAAAAGGATGTGTGCGGGAATGGTGTCAAAACTTCCTTCGAACAACATCTCTTGTCGCAAATGTCTCGGACAAGTTCTCTTAGAAGATGTTTTCAAACAAATTTTGTTTCCTTGGAAATTTATTGTAACTATCGTTTCTTACGGATTCCCTACATATTTGCCCCCACATCAACCGGCAACTTTTTTTAGTAGTGAAAGGAGACGCAACACCAAGAAACATTCCAAAAATGTATGAACTCTAAACTCAATGCGAACTCACTAAGATAGAATGAGTATACTCCTTGGTACATACCCAAATATATCGTGATACATACATGAGGCCTAAACATATTGAAACCCTCGATCATTGACACCTACGTAGTAAATAGACATACCCAATGAAGAACATACGACGCCAATTAATGAAGACGGACATGCCGAAATAGCCAAATACACACGACGCCAGCGAGGATGGACACACCCAATACTTAGGGTTTCATGAATCTTAGGGTATAGAAGTGAAACACTGAATATTGCCATTTTGTAGTTTCCTATTTTATTTGTATTATATTATAATTATCATAAAACCCAACAATAAAAAGCAACAAATTCCTTCTAATAAGTCAGTGTATTATCCTGCTGTACTGCCATCTTTAAGCTTTGCTGCTGTACCTACTTCTGCTGCTAGTTTACATGGCTAGTGCATTGGATCTGCTGCCTAATTAACACTAGCACTCCTCAGCTGTCTCTCTCATTAAAGAACTTTAATTTTCGATATAATAAACAATCTGTCGTTGGTCTCGTTCTCATATCGAGAAAGAAAGCTTGTCTACGATAACTTAAAACATGTCGTTTAAAACTCCCAACATGAGAAGGTTTAACTTTAACTAGCAATTAAAGATCAAAATCATGAGCTAATTCGCTCTAAAACTAAGGGAACGATAGTGAAAAATCTCTACTTAGAGTCGATAAATAAGTGATTTTAGTGTGAGAAATTGTTGCATTTTTGAGGTATTATTTATTCATCAGTGAAAAAATGAACTCCGAAGTATGCCACATACCGAGTCATCGGTTTATTAGTCAAGTACATGAAGATGGTTTTCGGCTTTGGCAACCCAGATGAGGATAGAAAAAAAAAAAAAAAAAAGTTGATGATGGTTAACATAATCAATGACATTTATGTGATGTCATAAATAAGTTTCTGGGTCACTTTCTAATATCAAGAAAACCCAAGGTCAAACCGTTTCATTAACCACAAAAAAATCAAAATGAGCTTACTCGTACATAAATCGAGGATACAAAGCTTCTAGTCAATGAATTGATCTGAATTAACATGACGAAGGAACCCCATATATAATATAGGGAAAAAAAAAAAAAAATCAAGGTTCTTACACTTACAAGTTCAAGCTGCAACCTATATAATTTTGTTTTTGAGGTATTCTTTAGCTAGCAAAGAGTTAACAAAATGAACAGCAAAACACACCACACTTAGTCATCGACTTATTAGCTAAGTACACACATGCAAATGCTTTTCACAACATGTGAAGAGGGTAAAAGAAAAGAACTTTAAAAGGAGCTCATGAATGTCCATTTTCTTCAGAAGGAAAAGGCTTAGGGTTCATACTCAAGTGCAAAGGCCTAACCATCCCTTGGTTTATTGTATATAGAGGTGAAGAAGACAAAGGTTGTTGATGTGAACTTGAAGATGAAGAGCTCAACATCTCAAAGGTTAGTTGTTTTGGATCAAATTGATACCTCACGTTATGATCATGAGATGGAAGTGGGTATGCGATATGATTGAAATTATCACTTGCATTTTCTTGATGATGTGCCATTGACCCATAGCTTCCGAACTGTGATAATGACAAATTTGAAGGATTCAATTTCAAGAAAGAACCATTTGGCACAACATTGTTGCACACATTTGGTAAAGATGAAGATTGAGTACTCGATTGAACAAAGAAATGATCTTTATTCTCCTTAGATTTATCGGGATTCCAGTAATCCTCCCAGTTGAGACCATTAGTATTCGTTCTAACACCTTCAAGATTTTCGGAGTGAGAAGCAACATTGATCATTGATTGAAGATTTTGACCGAAGTTCCCAGATGGCATTTGGAGAGGAGGAAGTTCATCGATTTCATGCTTAGCAACATCGAGCAACCAATCAACAACCTTGCTGGGTTGATTAAGTCCGAGGCGATCTTGAAGATCATATAACTGAATAGCAGTTTGAACAGATAGCCTTACTCGCCTATCTCTTAATCCTCTCACTGTGCAAACTTTACTATGTCTGTCTTTCCCACCAAAGGCTCGTGAAACTCGAACGATTCTTGGATCTCTCAGTTTTGTCCACGAAGATGTTGTTAAATTAGGGTTTGGGACAATATTCTTACCGTTGTTTGTGCTTTTTTCGTCATCCGATCCTCTTGTATTCGAGATATTCATCTCAATTCACTCATAATTGGAGCTAGTTTTCTTGGATCGAATTGTCAATATAGGAATCCTGCAAGAATTGATAAGAAAATGAGTTATAAAGCATACTTAACCTGTTGGAAAACATTCAAATCAACTCAAATTTATTGTATTGAATTCAGGAGAAGATCGATCCACACACACACAAACACTCAGCAAAAAAATACATACAATAAGAAGAAATCAGCTGGAAAATATTTGATCGAGTCAACTAAAATCGTATTGAATTTAACACATAAACACCCGAAATTCTGCTAGGCAGGTTGCTTCGAACGAAAGAAGAGATCTGAAAGCATGAGGACATTGAAGAAACACAGACAGACAAGCGAATTCATCTGAAAAAGCACTTAAAATAGTCCAAAAGCTTACTCGAGCACAAATATCTTGTACTTTGAAAAGGAGAAGCTCCCAAATTTCACTCAGTCCATCCACCAGAATAAACCTAGCTTATGAATACGGCGAATGGAGAAATGAAGAGAGAGATAGAACGAGGGTATGATGAAGTTGAAGCGTCCATGGTGAATGGATGGAATAGTAAAAGTAAAGATATAAAGCAAAGGCTGGTAGGGTGCCACGCGTGGTGGGTACCTTGAGGAAGATACATATCTATGGTGGTCAAAATTTTAACGCAGATGAATATGATTGGATTTGGATTGGTGATTAAGACGATAGAGGGTATTAGGGTTAAGGATTGGATTTACATGGCCATGAAAAGCTTGTAAGGTAGGGTTTGTAGAAGTAAATATATGAAGTAAAAAAGCATAATAATTTTCGAGGGACCATGCACTTATTGAACAGTTGTGCATCGTGCTTTATTGGAAGTTACAAAAGCCAAGGGCATTGTCATTTATAGTCGCTAAAAAATGTACAGAAAAGAATCCATTATTCAAGATCGGGAATAAGTTTATAATATATGTGTAATTAATGTTTTAATACGATAATTAATTATGTGTTTCATATTGACTTAAATTTATCTATTATAGGTTTCCAAGCACTTTTTCGATTCATGTTGTCTCCTACAAGTACGCCTAAGTAAGTAAATGGTAGAGTTGATGGTTCACATCCACGCGGAGCAGACCAATCACTTACCTCACTGAACTCACCTCCAATACCTTACACTCGTGATTTGTAGAAATTTACTTTTAGTCCACAGACCACATGGAAACACCTTAGAATTCTTGCTAAGTTTGCAATATTCCTTTGTGACCAATCTCTTAAAAACAACGCATCATCTGCGTAGAACATATGAGAGATATTAATATTGGAGTTTGGAATTTTCACCCTATCAAATAATCCCCGTTCCACTGCTGAACTAATCATAACATGTAGTCCTTCCATAACTAATGTGAAAAGGAATTCGGCCATTGGATCACATTGCCTTACTCCTTTTGACATCACAAACTCCTTTGTTGGGGAGCCATTAACCAATATGGAAGATTTCGATGATTCTAGACATCCCATTATCCATCTCCTCCATTTTTCACCAAAATTCATTTGTGTCATAATCGAATCTAAGTACTCCCAATTGACATAGTCAAAAGCTTTATTGAAGTCCACTTTAAATAATATGTTTTTCCGCTTTTTTGGATCCACGAAACTAGTTCATTGACTATGAGAGGTCTCTCCAGTATGTTATGTCCCTCCAAAAAGGCTAATTTAACTTCATTAATAAAAGTCCCAATGTGTTTCTTCATACGATTTCTAACATCCAGAAATCCAGGTAAAGCTTTTAAACCCTTCCATTTTGTTAGGTTGCCAAGAGTGGTCCCTTAAGAGAATTCTTGGAGCAAATGAGTACGATGGCGTACTAGGGAGTACGTTGCGCGTATTCATGCACTTAATTTGGACGCGGACTCGCTTGGGTACGCTGGGCGTACCTAGGGTTACGCTGGATGTAATAGGTCCAGACGCAAACCCTAAATGTTTGGCTTGTGTACTATTCAAAGGATGCTAAGGCTCATTTCTCAGTCTCCATATCAGAGAGTGAAACCTTAAGAGAGAGCTTTCCACCTTCCATAGTTGAGTGTGTGTGTTTTGGAGCTAAAAGTGTTTTGGTGTGTTAGTGAAGAAGAAGGAGAAGAGCTTACGAGGCCAGGACTTGAAGTGCAAAGTTAGATCTGAGATCTTTAGAGAAAGGAGCTTCATTTAGAGGTATAAAGTTCAAAACTTTCTTCCTTATTTGGTTTGATGTTGCATGGACCATTTCTAGGGTTAAAAGTCCCAAAGGTGGAGACTTTATGAATGTAATATGCTTCATGGACCTAGATCTATCCCATTTCAGTAGTATTTGTGTTATAGATCCATAAAGTTTCCATCTTGGTCGTTGATATGAGGTCATGCTTGAGTTATGAGCTCTTTAGAGTTGGAAAATGGAATATTATGGGTAATAGTGACTTGTCCAGCCATGCAAAGGCTTAAAGTCACCAACTTTATGGATTAAGAGGCTTAGAAGTGGTCAGATCTAGAAGTTAGACGTGGGTCTTATATGTTGAAGACCCCAAAAGCTTAGAGTCTGAAACTGGGAGTTACGTGGGCGTAATCCTAGTACGCGCGGCGTAAGGAGTCGCACACCCCGTTTCTGTGGAGACACCGAGTGCACCCATCGTACACGTTTGGTACGCGCAGCGTAACCCGGAGAGTTGACTTTTGTTGACTTTTAGGGTTTGGTCAACTTTAGGGTCTTGGAGCCATGAGAGGGGTAAAATGGTCTTTTACCCTTCTAAGAGTACTAAGAGAGGGAATAATATAGCCTTGAGAAATATATTAATTTAGAGTGTTTATTTCATATGATTAGGCGGAGGCTAGATCAGATTTTACAGATTACGAGATTACCGAGTTACCCGAGGTGAGTCTTCTCACTATACCTTACCTTGAGTGGTAATTAGAGCTATGTGACAGCGTACTTGTATGTATATTGTATGATGTGATACACTGCATTATGTCTATGTGATTTATGCTATGTATGTCTCAGAGTTTACAGAGTTAGAACCGGAAGGTTCACAGAGTTAGGACCAGAGGGTCCACAGAGCTAGGACCTGGAGGTCCACAGAGTTAAAGCCTCGAGTGGCTAATATGAGTTATATGTGGTATTTTGGAGAACTCACTAAGCATTTATGCTTACATTGTTGTGTTATGTGTTTTAGGTACCAGTGAGTACCGCGGGAAGGCGTCGGCATGATCAGTACACACGCGAGGAGTTTTTATGTATTATGATCGTGGGTTGTCTTTTTATGGATGTTATATGATAAAATGACATTTTTATAATATTTATGAATGAACGTATGTTTTGGAAAATGTAAAAAATGTTTTGAAAAATTTGGGTGTTACAAGTTGGTATCAGAGCCTTGGTTTGAGGGATTCGGGTGCACCTTCGGGCGTATTTGAACTAAAACTGAGGTTTGAGACATTTTCAAAATGAAATTCACAATATTTTTTCAAAGAGTAAAAAGTTTTTGAAAAAGCAGAGTAGAGCAGTGTGTACGATCAGCCAGCGCCCGAACGGTGATTTCCCAAACTACCCTTTCCATTATGAGTTATGAGAAATGTTATGATATGATATGCATGATAGAATAGGCTAGGTATTCTTATTAGGACTAGAGTGGTCTGATTTGTGATGCCTTAGCCTAGTGGTTTTACTAGCAGATGCTTGAGAGCGAATAGATAGCAACGAGGAGCTATGAGAGATCTGCTAGAGAGTAGACTATGCATAGTGAGAGTAGAGTACTTGGGACTTGGGATCCTAGGAGGAGGACTTGGGATGAATACTGATGTGGTGTACTACTGAAGCAGTGCGCAGCCCAAGTAAGAATCCTTGGTATACCAGGGATCGAGTAGGTCGACTCATCGAGTGCGTGTATGTTCGAGCGAGTCTTTGATATGTTTTATGTTGTATTTCAGAGACATCATGGTTTGGACACGCCAGAGACCGGGGACCAACAGGGTGAGCGATGAGGAGCTCCACCAGATGATTCATGAGGAGGTGGCTGCGGCCATCAGTGCAGAGATTCTAGAGATGTTTGGGTCTATCAAGACAAATCTGATGGAGACCTTCAATGAGAGATACGTGGCGGTTACTGAGGCTGCAGCCGCTGCAGCTGTTGCTGCTGCCAGACCTCGGGGTGGCGATTCGTTGTTGTTCTGGGAGTTCAGCAACAAGAAGTCACCAGAGTTTGATGGGATGCAGGATCCGATTGCTGCGATGAGATAGGTTTCTGATATTGAGGGATGCTTCTATACATGTTCATGTCCAGAGTATTTGAGGGTCCGGTTCGCGCTGAACCAGCTTCGCTTGGGAGCGAAGGACTAGTGGAAGTTTGTGACGACGCATTTTTCGTCTGCTGAGCTTGCCGCGGTGACCTGTGAGAGGTTCACCCCTATGTTTCATGATGAGTATGTTCCCCCTATGGAGAGGGAGCATTTGGCCCAGGAGTTTCTGACCCTCAAGCAGGGTACTGAGTTTGTTACAGTGATCACCAGGATGTTCCATGAGAGGGCGATGTTCTGCCCTGAGCACGTGTCTACCGAGCAGGCACGTATGAGTCGGTATTTGAGTATTCTGAGGAGGGACATACGAGAGTTCGTGGCAAACTCTTCATACCGGACATTTGCCGAGCTTCAAGCAAATTCTCGGAAGAGGGAGATAGAGCTGGAGACTCAGGTTTGGGAGGAGGCGGACTCTCAGGGGAGGGATCGGCAACCGGCTCAGTCCCAGCTGGCAGCCAAGCGGGCCAAGCTCGCCGATTCGAGTTCAGGGAACCAGAAGGATCGTACTTGTGGCAAGTGCGGCAAGGGTCATGAGGGAGTATGTAGAGCATGGTCTTGCTACAAGTGTGGCAAGGAGAGCATATGACTAAGGATTGCCCCAAGGGATTTGCAGTCTGTTTTCACTGCAACCAGACTGGACACTGGAAGGCCGAGTACCCGCAGCTGCAGGGATCTGCCCTTGCTGCTGTTTGAGCTTCAGAGGGCCGGCCGGTGAAAGCCGAGGTTCAAAAGGCACAAGGGAGAGCTTTTTGTTGACCGCAGAGGTGGTCCGCACGGCGCCTGATGTTGTGGCTGGTTTGTATTCTTTCATGTATTTAATATGATGATTATTATATGGTGTTTATATTATGCTATGCGTAGGTACTTTCCTTGTGTGTTCTGTGCCTGCTTTGGTGTTATTTGACTCGGGTGCGAGTAAGTCTTTTGTATTGTTAGCCTTTAGTCAGCACATCATTATCCGTCGAGAGGCATTGAGTTGACGTTTGCGAGTTTCCATAGCGAACGAGAGAGCAGTGTATGCCACGGATGTGATTCGAAAGTGTGTACTCGAGATCTTCGGCATTAAGTTTCCGATTGATTTGGTCCCGATTGTTATGGGAGATGTCTGTGTCATTGTGGGTATGGACTGGTTGAGTAGTTTTGGAGTGGTTATTGAGTGCAAGCGACAACTGGTGACCATACGAGACCCTAGTGGGGGATTTCTTACGGTCTATGGCGAGCGTACCCGTCTTGGGTCAGCATTTTGTTCAACCGCAAGAGCGAGGCAGAGTCTGCAGTAGGGTTGTAGTGGGTTTATGGATTATGTGGTGGATATGAGAGTAGGTGCAGAGAGACCGAGGTTGGTTGATGAGGTCCCGATAGTACGTGAGTTCTCGAATGTTTTCCCAGAGGAGTTGTCGGGTGTGCCTCCCAAGAGGTAGGTAGAGTTCCGTATCAATTTGGTTACGGGGGGAAATGCCTATCACCAAATCACCCTATCGCCTTGCACCTCCACAGATGCAGGTGTTATCCTCGCAGCTTCAGGAGCTGCTGGGAAAGGGGTTTATACGACCGAGTAGCTCGCCATGGGGAGCGTCGATCCTTTTCGTCAAGAAAAAGTATGGTTCACACCGGATGTGCATTGACTACCAGGAGTTGAACAAGCTGACGGTCAAGAACCGTTACCCCTACCGAGGATTGACGATTTGTTCGATCAGTTACAAGGAGCGTCTTGGTTCTCCAAGATCGATTTGATGTCTGGATATCATCAGATGAGGGTGCATGATGAGGATATCCAGAAGACAACATTCAGGACTCGTTATGGGCATTACGAGTTCGTGGTAACGTCTTTCGGGCTCACGAATGCACCGGTGGCGTTCATGGACCTCATGAGCAGGGTGTGCAGGCCGATGTTGGATCGTTCTGTAATCGTGTTCATTTGATGATATATTGGTGTATTCAAGATCTAGAGAGCAACATGAGGAACATTTGAGGGAGATCCTTAGAGTTCTGAGATCGGAGAGGCTTTATGCCAAATTCTCCAAATCTGATTTCTGGTTACGAGAGGTTCAGTTTCTAGGACACCTTGTCATCCAGAACGGGATATTAGTCGATCCATCCAAGATCGAGGCGGTGATGAGCTCGGAGGTCCCGAGATCCCCCTCAGAGATCATGAGTTTTCTGGGGCTGGCCGGCTATTATCGGAGATTTTTCAAAGATTTCTCCAAGATTGCTATTCCTCTTACCAAGTTGACCAGGAA